ATTAGATCAATCATGGCTTGAGGCTTCTCCATATGTGAGTGATGTGATATTTCCAGTGCAGGAGGTCAGTGGTGGTAAAGGGCTGATATATAAAAGTACGTTATCCCCCTTGGATTTGGCCATCTGGACTGTAGTATAGGGGCCCTCTGCTTCCCTTAATGGCAGTTGTAAAGTCTTTTGACATCTGTGGGGAGGGGGGCTGTCGGCAAATTTTCCCTGATGCCTTTCTGCCTGAGTGTACGGAGTTAACACTGGCAGCTCTGGAGTAGCTGCTGCCTGGGGCATTTTGGGTGACCTTGAGGAAAGGGTGGACTCTGGGCTGAGGCCAGCCTCTGGCATGGCTCCAGCTGCACAATTGCAGGGCGTGTGGATGGCAATGAAGGGTACAGTGGCACATAAGGTGGGGGGGTGTCTCCTCAGGTTCCTCATACAGAACAGCCTTTCTTGACCCCAGTTGGCACCCTGAGGGAGATGTTGCTTGGGCCAACATAATTCTATAGCTGTTTTCTAGGGAGATTTTTATCCAAGGTGGATGGGAGAGGACTACATCTTGCCAACAGTCAATGTAGGGTGACTGATCTGGGTGGTCTGAATCCCCCACAATGATGTCAAACATCTTACTAATTAGTCTCTCATCTAGTGACCCCTCAGAGGGTCACCCCACCTCAAATGAAGGCCAATCTACTTTGCAAAGGGTCCAAAACTTTCTGGGAGTTAACTTAATACCATAATTCCCTGAATATCCCTTTTTGAAATTCTTTACCATGCACCGTCCAGACGGCCAAATCCAAGGGGGATAACGTACTTTTATATATCAGCCTTTTACCACCACTGACCTTTTGCACTGGAAATATCACATCCACTCATATACTGAGAAGCCTCAAGCCATGATTGATCTAATTGTGCTCTGAATGCCACCCATTTCCACTCACTAAAAGACAACAATCATGCACAGGATGGGAAGGAATGGGGGTGGGGGTAAGAGGGTTGGACACTTGCTTCACCCATACCCCTCACAGGGGTATTTCAGGTTCCTTCTGGCAATAGGCAAGTCAGTATAACCCCCCTACTAGTTTCGATCCAGGGTACCATACCCCTTGCAGAGATATTTCAGGTGCCTTCTTGACAATAGGTGAGTCGGTACAACCCCCTAACCAGGTTTCAGTCCCACTATAGGACTTACTCCTGCTGTTTAGCTGTGTGAAGGTCACCACCAGTCCCCAAATCTACTCCCGCCATTTAGCTGTGTGAAGGTCACCACTGGAATCAAATCCGGGTTACTGCACTCACTTCACCACTAGGTGACATCTCATTCACTCGCATTCACACGTCTTCAACCCACTGCCCAGTTACGGTACCATCCCCCTGTGGGACTACTCAGGCAACTGTGCGAGGTGATCAGATTCCCCTTCTGCCTCTTAAGGGCAGGTCTACCAAATCGAACCCCGGTTCTTACCAATCTGATGGGCGGTGCTCTCCTGACTGATTCCTGGGACTCATTGGGTTCCATTGGACTCCTGGGATCCTTACCCCACCACACTGGGAGGGCTAGTCCCCTATGGATCAATCGGTCCACTGGTGCCAGGTGAGGTCACCTCTTCCAGCATCCCAGGGGTCGCACCCTGGTGACAAGGGAGGTGATAACACCATCTCTGCCTCCCAATTCCTGGCCAATGCACCAGAGATGTGGCAGGATTTTACAGAGAGATGGGATACCGAAGCTATATTGCCAGGAAATGGTGTTTATTCATGCCAGAACTGGCTCAGCAGATTCACATCCAAAGGCTGAGCCCCGAGTGCAGGGGGGCATTGACTTTTACACACTTTTAGCCTCTTTGTTCCCCCAACAAGGCTTACATATTAGTAACATACAGGCTAATTGGGTATTTCATGGCCCAAGGTTGCAGTGGAGTTACACATGCACACTACAGATTGGGAGCTACATTCCTTTCTAACATAAATCTTCCATGAAATCTCTTATCTTATGGTGCTAGAAGGACTCTTTCATTATTCTGGGAAGGCATTTATCTTACTGTACTAAGAGGGCCCTTTCTCTATCCTGAGGAGGCCTTTATTTTATTAGGCTGGGGGCTCTCCTTGCCTCACTGTTAGTTCAGCAGTGTTAGCTCAGTGGCCCTAGCTCCGTCAGCCATTAGCTCCACTCTGCTGTTGGCTCTGCTCCACAGTTAACTTCGACTTTGCCAGCTTTGCCCACTCTGCTGGGTCCATCAGTTGGCAAGTCAGCAGGCGTGTGCAGTTCTCTTCAAATTCAGTGGTCTTCAGCTCCAGTGGTCTTCATAGGTCTTTTGGTCAGGTTCTTGTCTCATGCCCAAGAAGAAAAAGGGACACCGCCAACCAGAGGGTAAAAAGGCAGGAATTTATTGAGTGGAAGAAATGCTCTAGGCAGCATGAAAAATCCCAAAGAGTTGCCAAAGGAGAGTTGAGTCTGGGTGTTTATATAGTCCTAGGAGTAAGCTGATTGGTTAGTAATTAGTGCCAATCAGCTAGGGGTACAGAAGTTGTGGTCTTGGAATTTCACCAATCAGGCGAGGGTTGGGGAGGGTCCCTTAGAAAAAAGTGGGTAAAGAATGACGTTCACTGACCTGTAAGTGGTGTGTTCACTCCAGTCCATGGGCTTTGCAGGGAGTTTACGACCGGGACCGCCCTATCTGTCTGCCTACCAAATTTCTAGCTGTCTCCTTTCTCACTATAAGTCATATTTTTTGGCTTATTCTTTTTGTTCCAAATACAGCTCTGCTCTGTGACCACATTTCAGATAAGTTGGTGCACTACAAATTTTACAAAATATCCCTGAAATGTTGTTGTTTACATTTTTTTCCTGTTAGCCAGTGAAAGTTGACTGGGTCATTCTTGTCAACTAAAATACTGTGTAATTTGGGGTGGGGCGGTGGAGGGAGAAAAGCACTCAGGGCAACATTACTCCAAAAAATGTAATACTCTGCAAGCCTGGCTGCTGAAACTGCCTGCTGTAACCTGAAACCAGTTTTATCTAATAGCTGCTCAAACAACCAGTGGTAGTTTTAAGAATAGTTTTACCAGCTGGGCTCGGTGGCTCAGCCTGTAATCCCATGGCTTTGGGAGGCTGAGGTGAGTGGATTGCCTGAGCCGCGGGTTCCATACCTGCCTGGGCAGCGAGACCTCATCTCTACAATAAATCAAAAAATCAGCCGGGTGTGGTAGCGCATACCTGTAATTCCGGCTACTTGGAAGGCTGAGGTGGAAGGATCACCCGGGAGCGGCCACTGCACTGGGCAACAGAGTGAGACTCCAACACACACACACAAAAAAAGAATAGTTTTACCTCTTGTCATCATTTACCAACCAAAACTTGCCAGGTCTCTAAAATCTTACTATTGCCAATAAACTTTCTCAAAGAGCAGCACATAATATTTCTTTTTTCTTTTCTAAACCCCTAACCTTTTCTTTGTTCTTTTGGAATACCAAAGACTGCCAGGTCTGTGTGTTTGCCCCAAATTGAAATCCCTGCTTCCCCCCGCCAAAGCTTTAAATTTAGAGATTAATTTCTATAATTTATCTACCCCTCAATTCCAGGAGAACTGTTGCTATGCTCACCTTGAAAAGATATTAGAATAAAGAACAGGATTGCTGACCATGCTTTTGCAAGCCCTGCTTCAGGAGATGACTGTTTTAACCCAGATAGCCATATGCCTCACCCAAATTAAGGTTTTGTGTTTAAATCAGGATTTGGTGGATGGATCCAAAAGATGCTTCTCAGGACAGCGAAACGTGAAGCCAATATTAATAGTCTCCCCTATCACATAATACCCAGCATCACATACACATACACTCACACACACACAAATTCTGCACAAATTTTAATATCTTAAAAATTCTGAAGCCAGGCATGGTGGCTCACGCCTGTAATCACAGCACTTTGGGAGGTGCAGGTGAGAGGATTGCCTGAACCCACAGGTTCAAGACAAGCCTGGGTAACATGGTGAGACCCTGTCTCTACAATAAATAAAAAAATTAGCCAGGCGTGGTGGCGCACGCCTGTGGTTCCAGCTACTTGGAAGGCTGTGGCTGAAGGATCTCCTGAGTCCACCAGGTCAAGGCTGCAGTGACCATGAGCGTGCCACTGTACTCCAGCCTGAGCGACAGAGTGAGAATCCAACTCAAAAAAAAAAAACAACAAAATATTTGGTGTGCGGTGGCTCAGCCTGTAATCCCAGGAGGCCAAGGCCAGGAGGGCAACATAGTGATACTCCAGCTCAAAAAAAAAAAAAAATATGTAGAGGGAAAAGCTCCCCCACAAATTTATTGGAAGGGCACAGAAAGTTTTTCCTCATCATTTCCATTTTACTCTGAAAGAAAAAGTAGAGTCCTCAGTGTTATAAGATGAGATGTAGGAAAGCGTGAGCCCTAGTCTGGTCTGGTGTGATGCTGCTGATGCTGGCCCACCTTCTCAGTCTGATTGACAACTACTCTACTGTAACTTGTGATTGCTAGGATTTTTAAACAACATGCTCTGCTGCACGGACGGGATTCCTTTAGATGGGATCTAAAGAGCTGCGATTCTCTAGCTTGAATGTGTAGGGGATGCCCTAGAATGGTGTCTTTGTTAAAGAATCAGATGGCCCCACATTTTCTTCCACTCGGAGGGTCTGAGTGGGCTGCAGATTAGCCAGCTCTGTGGGACACCTGTGCCTGGCCCACGGACACTATGTCCCTCACTCATCCTCACACCAGTCTGACCCATTCGGGGTGACACCCTCAAAAATTAGCACCCAGACTGGGCCTGGGAAGGGCTTCCTTGAAGGTTCCGCTACTCACGTGATCGCCAGGGGCAACCTCAAGGTCGACTCCAGAAGCCAAAATAAATGAGTAACGAATGTCGGGCACAAAGCTGGCAAATATCTAATTAATCATTTTGAAGCTTAAACTTAAAAATTATACTTAGAAAATTAGTAACGGGCTTTAAAAAAAGAGGGGTGATTTGCGCCCGGAAGTCAATGTGAGGAGCAGTACTTCCGGGTCAGCTGGGCCGGCCGCCGTGACCTTCCTCGCCGCTCGGCCATTTTGTTCCAGTCAGTTCGGAGACTGCGGCTGCGGAGTAGCTTAGTGCCGTGAAACTGCTAACATGTTGTCGGTGCGCGTCGCCGCGGCCGTGGCCCGCGCCCTCCCTCGGCGGGCCGGACTGGTGAGCCCCGGAGAGGCGCGGGGGACGCGATCCAGCAAGGCTCCCGCTGGCGGCGGGCGCTGTTGGGGAGCGCTGTCCGCGGGGTGGTGGGGGGCTGCTACGGCCGCCATCTTGCACTGGGGCTGTTCTGGCCGGCCTTTCGCGTGCGGGGCGGGGGAGGCGGTAATCTTGGGGTCGGCCGCGCAGCCGAGGCCTGTCTTGGCTGAGCGAGGCCTGAGGGGTCTTTGAGGTGAAGGTCGAGCCTAGGCGCTACCTCCCCGAGACGGTGTGGCTCCTCGGCGCCGATGCTCCGGGGCTCCTGTCGCCCAAGGTCGGAGACTACTGTAGTCGCACGCGGGCGCGTCGGGGGTCCTGACATTGCGCGAAGCTCAGCGGGCTCCGGCGTGCAGCCTCTGCCCCGAGAGAGGGGCAGGTGCAGTTGACAGAGTAGGCGATTTTGGGGGGCTGAGCGCGGACACCGGGAACGCACCTGCAGGTGCCGGAAGGCCTCGATGCGGGCAGTTGCTCGTGTATGGGGCGTTTGCCCTTGAGCCGTCCGCCCGGCTTTGGGGAGGCGCTGGAGAAGGAGAATTTAAGTAAGGTGAGGCTGGGAAATGACTGAGGGTCAGAGTCCCTCGCTTCCCTCCTTGACGTTAAGAACACAATCCTACCATTTATCTACCTAATCCGGAATTGTATCCCCCACTTTAAAAATAAAACAAACATAGTTAACGTAAACCCGTTCGCAGACGAAATAAACACTCTGGCTATTTGTCTGTCCTAGCACAGCCACTACTAGCATCTTGGCTTTCGTTAGCAAATAAACATTTTTAACAATTTTCATCCAGCTCTTAATAGAGGGTGGTAGCTTCACATCACAGCATTGCAGCTAGAAGGGAGGAGAAACAGGATTCCAGGTTGTGGCAGGATTTGTTAAAGACAGGGAAAAGAGTCTGCATGCTATACTCTTGATTTCTAATCTGACTCCAGTATTTATTTGCTGAGTTCTTGTTTATTTGAAGTAAAATTGGAAATATGTTGAGGTTTACCCCAATAGGAAGCAATTTGCCTTATTGAGAATTTCTACACCTCAGTTGAAATAAGTCTAAAGTCAAAATAGTACCTGGATGCTTTTAAAGGGAAAGACGTTGATGCTTTGTTAATAGTTGCTTTTTAAGATAGAGTGCATTTTTCTTTTTTTTTTTTTTTTGTAATGGGCGAGGTCTTGCTGTGTTACTCAGGCTGGTCCTGAACTCCTGGCCTCAAGCAATCATCCTGCCTGAGCCTCCCAAAGTACTGGGATTGCCTGCATGAACCACTACACCTGGCCTAGACTGCATTTTTAAAATATGCTTTTTATAGCATACTGTGTGCCGGGAACTGCATAATCACACATATCAAAAAAGCTATCTAACTTTAGCTATTCAAGGTCAAATTTTTATAACATAACAGTACCAAGTCACTTCTCACCATCATAACTGTGTTAAGTGAGATAGTTTAAATATCATTAATATCTTCACCAGCAATTTGATCAAACAAAGCCTACATTTGTTTAAGCTTGTCAGTTTTAGAAAGGCTTTTTTAAAAAATCAAATTTATGAGAATGTTTTTGCATTAGGTCTCCAGAAATGCTTTGGGTTCATCGTTCATTGCCACAAGGAACCTCCATGCCTCTAACACTCATCTTCAGAAGACTGGTAAGTCATTGCTCAGCGTTCACCACGCTTCCTTCCTTAGTAATGAAGGCATCATGGATTGAAGTTTCTTAATTTTTGGTTCCTGCAAAATCTCAGGTTCTTAAACCATGATGTGTCATTTAGCCCTGTCTTGGCAGGGCTAGTGAAATGAACTACATTTCTATATTTCTCTCTTGATTTTTCTATTTTTTGAGTCAGGATCTCTCACTCTGTTACCCAGGCTTGACCTCTCAGGCGATCCTCCCACCTGTAGCTTAGACTACAGGTGCGTGGTACTATGCCCAGCTAATTTTTTTATTTTTGTAGAGATGAGATCTCACTATGTTGCCTAGGCCAGTCTTGATCTCCTGGGCTCAAGCAGTCCTCCCACTTCCGCCTCCCAAAATGCTGGAATTACAGGCGCTAACCATCCTGCCCAGCCATTTATTTCTCTTTGGATATTAGTACAGCTTCTTTGTTTTGTTAATGCCACTTTGGTGGAAACAGAGTTAACATACTAGGTAGTGGAGTCTTTCTAACTTATGGTTTCTTTTTTTTCCTCTCCTAAAAAGCATTAGAAAAATGTAAGCATTTCTCACTGACAGGTTTATTTAAAGACAATAGCTACTACCTTGTACTTGGCAATCTGTATTTGCACATTGCAGGTGTGATTGAGAAATGGGAGAGATGAGCAAAGGACGATACTGTAGGTTGAGGAATTTCTTTTGGGATGTTTATTAGGACTTTTAAAATAGAATGTTAAATAGACACACACACTATATGTTGCCTCTATGCTAAAGTGAAGAATAGTATCTGGGTGACTTTAAAGGGAAAGATACTTTAGCAATTGGTTATTGGTTTTTAAAATATGCTTTTCAGAGAATTTAGCCCAAAATTCAGGTTTTAACATCGGTACAGTTTCCTTAGAAATTAAAGTAAAACAGAAGGTGTAAAACATTTATTTTTAAGGGCATTGCTTACTTTTATTAGCTTGTCCACATAATATTTGCCTTGCGAAGATTTCTGTTTATTTTCTCTCCATCACTTGGATTAATTTTTATAATTGATACTCAGGTTTTTGAATAGAATCTTTTGCTATATTTCAGAATACAATTTATTATAATCACAAAACCACTCTTTATGTTATTGAGAGATGGGTTTTGTAAAGATTTGGGGACTCGACTGTGTTTTTTTTGTTTTTTTTTGTTTTTTTTTTTTGAGTTGGAGTCTCACTCTGTTACCCAGACTGGAGTGCAGTGACCGCTCCTGGCCACTGTAGCCTTGACCTGCTGGGCTCCGGTGATCTTTCCACCTCAGCCTTCCAAGTAGCTGGAATGACAGGCGCGTGCTACCACGCCTGGCTAATTTTTGATTTATTGTAGAGATGAAGTCTCACCAAGTTGCCCAGGCAGGTCTCGAACCCATGGGCTCAGGCAGTTCACTAACCTCAGCCTCCCAAAGCGCAGGATTACAGGCTGAGCCACCGAGCCTGGCTCAGACTGTTTTTTAAATTGGATTATCCTCTCAATAGGCACTGCGGAGATGTCCTCTATTCTTGAAGAGCGTATTCTCGGAGCTGATACCTCTGTTGACCTTGAGGAGACTGGGCGTGTTTTAAGTATTGGTGATGGTATTGCTCGAGTTCATGGGCTGAGGAATGTTCAAGCAGAAGAAATGGTAGAGTTTTCTTCAGGCTTAAAGGTAAATTATAAAGTGAGATTTTGGTATTCTAGGATTTGTGTTTTAGTTATTCATTTAGCAATTAAGAGATTGTATAATTTTTTTAAATCTTCAAGTTTCATTTTCTTGTTGTAATCAGATTGTAAAGAGAATGAAATTAAACCTGGTGGCTAGCCAGGTTTTTTGCTCTAGAGACTGATTTACACATAAGTTGTAGGCACTGGCTTCAGATGTATAATTGAGTAAAGCTTCATCCAAATTACATGAATTCAAGTCTTTTCTTTCTGTCCATTAAGATCATTTTATACAAAAAATGTTGGATAACTTCAAATTCATTTCTGGGAGAAAGCTGAAAGTGAGTGATGTATTTCTAGTAAGAGGAGCCTTGCTGGTGAGAGGTGAGTTAGTGGTATAGCTGTCAGAAGCTCGCTAATGACATTAGTCCACTTCTTTTTGTTAAGTTGAGCCTATCTAGCCAATGGGATGAGAATTAAAAGTTGTAGGAGTCCAGGGCTCTTACAGGAAAGCAGAGGGTGACATCTGGATGGACCAGGGCCAGTAGTGCTATCTACTGAGCACACAGATGTGGAAAAAGAGAATCTTGATCCTCTTGCTCTTGTCCCTTTGGAGGAAGAGGTGCTTATGTGAAAGACTAATTACAGAGCCTAGAGTTACCATTGGGCCCTAATATCACTGTAAGACCTTAGCCAAAACCTCTTCTATCTTCAGTGTTGTACATTATGTATCTTTGAAAGGTAAGGTTAAAATAGATGAATTCTCAGTTTCCTTTTAGCTTTTAAGATCCAAAGTGTCTAGAAAAATACTGTCCAATAAACTTCCTGCAGTGATGAAAATACTGTACATGCTTTTTAATATGGCACATTATATACATATGTCACTATTAAGCTTGTAAAATGTGGCTAATGTGATGGACTAAATTTTTAATCTTTTAAATTTGACTAATTTAGATAGCAACACATGATTAATGGATGCTATATTGAATATCAGTGATGTATATTAAGGTTTTTGTATAGGCAATGATATTCCATGGTACTCTTCTGTATTTAAGTACTTTCCAGAGCTTTCGTTACTGGCCACATCATTTCTAGAATAGGTTTTTTGTTTCAGACATGATTTAGGGACCTAAAATACAGTTATGTTGGTGAGAAGTGACTTGGTACTGTTATGTTATGAAAATTTGATCTTGAATAGCTAGTTAGATAGCTTTTGGTTTTTTTGAGTAGGAGTCTCACTCTGTTACTCTGTCACCCAGGCCAGAGTGCAGTGGTATGCTCACTGCCACCACAACCTCAACCTGCTGGACTCAAGTGATCCTTCCGCATCAGCCTTCTAAGTAGCTGGAACTATAGGAACACGCCACTACACCTGGCTAATTTTTTGGATTATTGTAGAGACAAGGTCTTACCAAATTGCCTAGACTGGTCTCAAACCCCTAGACTCAGGCAGTCCTCTCGCCTCCCAAGGTGATTGGGATTACAGATGTGAGCCACCACACGCAGCTAAGATAACTTTTAATTTCATTTTCTGCTGGCCCGAGGAGTACAGGTTCTTATTAGATCATTTTGAAGCTGTTTATGGAACTTCTTGCATATAAAAAAGATGTCAGCCCTTTGCCCTCAGATGACCCTTTTGGGGGAACATCATAAATCTAGCAAACCATTCAGATGTCCTCTGAGGGGACATAATGAGTTTGCTGGTGATTAAACAGAACAAGCTTAACACCATCGCAGATTTTTCAAGAATGCACGTTTCCTTGAAGTTTTCCATTCAAATTGCATGAGAAAGCAAAGAAATGAAGTATATACTGAGATACAATCGAACAATTGAGAAGTGGGTTTCAGGAGTCACGAGTGTATCCTTCCACATTGTATTTGAACAACAGACTAACAAATTATGTATTATTAATGTAGGAGGAAGAAAACGCGACTGCATTGTCCAAATACAAAAACACCAAGTGGAAGAAGTCCCATAGATTCCTATTGTACAACATGTATCAGTGAATTTGCAATGTGTGTCAGTGACTGTGCCACAGTTACCACATTTGAAAAATAAAAGCTATAAGATTTTGATTTTTTTTTGTCAATGTCCAGAATGCCAGTATAGGCCAAATATTAATTACAATAAGATAACTGGTTTAAATGCTACATTATTTACTATGAAGTGATTTGTTTTTTTACTGTTTTGTAAAATAGTGTGGTGATAGGTGATCCGCGAGATGTCTCCGAGTGCGTGGGGTTAATAATATGTCTTAAAATTTCTGTTTTGGGTTGGGCGTGGTGGCTCATGCCTATAATCACAGCACTTTGGGAGGCTGAGGTGAGAAGATTGCCTCAGCCCAGCCCATGGGTTCGAGACAAACCTGGGCAACTGGGCAATACCTCGTCTCTACAAGAAATTTAAAAAAAAGTCAGCCAGGCATGGTGGCATGTGCATGTCCAGCTACTTCTAAGGCTGAGGCAGATGACGCAACTGAGCCCAGCAAGTTGAGGCTGCGGTGGCCGTGAGCGTGCCACTGCAATCCAGCTTTGGTGACAGAGTGAAACTCCAATTCAAATTCAAAAAACAAAAAATTTCTGTTGGCCCTGCTCGCTCTGTCTCATACTGATCACCCAGCTCAAGAGCCAAAGAACATGCAGTAGAAGAGTGCTTACCTGCCCAGGATCTTTGCTTTCAGTTCTCACAGCGTCAGTGTATGGAGGCGTCCCCAGCTTCATGTGTTCATTGTCTTGTGCAGGGTATGTCTCTGAACTTGGAACCTGACAACGTTGGTGTTGTCGTATTTGGAAATGATAAGCTGATTAAGGAGGGAGACATTGTGAAGAGGACAGGAGCCATCGTGGATGTGCCCGTGGGTGAGGAGCTGCTGGGCCGGGTGGTGGACGCCCTTGGTAACGCCATTGATGGAAAGGTGGGTTCAAGTTTATTGAATGTGGTTGCAGCTCCTAACAATGTCACAATGGATTCTTCTGAGGGTTTTTCCTGTTTATTTTTGTTTTCTTAAGGGTCCAATTGGTTCTAAGACCCGTAGGCGAGTTGGTCTGAAGGCCCCTGGAATAATTCCTCGAATCTCAGTACGAGAACCCATGCAGACTGGCATTAAGGCTGTGGATAGCTTGGTGCCAATTGGTCGTGGTCAGCGTGAGCTAATTATTGGTGACAGACAGACTGGGTAAAGACTTAAGCATGTTAAAAGTTCTAACTGAAATTTGCTCTATGGAAGATTACTGTTCAGTTTTGAAGTGGTAAATGTCATGGGGACAGGAGAATGTGAAGGAAGGGAGAGGAGGAGGAGTAAAGGCATACCTGGGAAGTCCTTTGGAATGTTCAGGAAGACTTATGTTGACTTTCTCTTTTTAAAGGAAAACCTCCATTGCTATCGACACAATCATTAACCAGAAGCGCTTCAATGACGGAACTGATGAGAAGAAGAAGCTATACTGCATCTATGTGGCTGTTGGGCAGAAGAGGTCTACGGTGGCCCAGCTGGTGAAGAGGCTCACGGATGCAGGTGGGAAAGGGCGCCAGCACCATCACTGGCAGCTCAGGACAGCCTCTGCTTCAGGAGGCTGATCTTAATCATTCCCTAATGAGCTGAACTGCCTAGTATAAATGAGTAAGTTAAAGTATATAATGCACAAATATGTTTAAAGGTTTTGTTGGTTTCTTTAAAGTGGAAGTTGTTTGATTCTGGTTAATTCTTTTTCTTTCTTTCTTTTTTTTTTTTTTTTTTTTTTCTTTGAGTCAGGGTCTCACTCTGACTCCCAGGCTGGAGTGCAGTAGCATTCTCACTGCAGCCTCAGCCTCCCCAATAGCCAGGACTGTAGGCGCACCTCATCACACCCAAGTTTTTTATTTATTGTAGAGACAAGGTCTTGCCATGTTGTCCAGGCTGGTCTCAAACCCCTGGACTCAGGTGAGACTTGCCTCAGCATCCCAGAGTGCTGGGATTACAGGTGTGAACCACCATGCCCAGCCTGATTCTGGTTAATTCTTTTTTTTTTTTTGAGTTGCAGTCTTAGGCTGCAGTGCAGTGACACGCTCACGGCCACCGCAGCCTCAACCTACTGGACTCAGGTGATACTTCTGTCTCAGCCTTTCAAATAGCTGGAACCACAGGTGTGTGCCACCATACACAGCTAATTTTTTTATTTACTATAGAGATAAAATCTCGCCAGTTTGCCCAGGCTGGTCTCGAACCTCTGGACTCTGGCAATCCTCTCGCCTCCACCTCCCAAAGTGCTGAGATTACAGGTGTAATCTGATGAGACTGTACCCAGCAGTTCTGATTATTATTTTTTTTTTAGTTGGACTCTCACTCTGTCACCCAGGTTGGAGTGCAGTGGCATGGTCATAGCCACTGCAGACTTGACTTGCTGGGCTCAGGTGATTCTTCCACTTCAGACTTCCAAGTAGCTGGAATTACAGGTGTGTGCCACCATACCTGGCTAAATTTTTTTTTTTGATTTATTGTAGAGACGAGGTCTTGTCATGTTGCCCAGGCCGGTCTCGAACTCATGTGCTTATGCAATTCTTCCTATCTCTGCCTCCCAAAGTGCTGGGATTACAGGTGTGAACCACCATGCCCATCTTTTTTGTTTTTGTTTTTTGAATTGGAGTCTCTGCTGCCCAGGCTGGAGTGCAGCAGCACACTCATGGCCACCGCAGCCTCAACATGCTGGGCTCAGGCGAGTCTTCCACCTCAGCCTTCCAAGTAGCTGGAATTACAGGTGTGTGCCACCATACCTGGCTAATTTTTTGATTTATTATAGAGATGTGGGCTCAGGCAATCCTCTTGCCTCTGCCTTCTATAGTGGTGGGATTACAGGAGTGAGCCACTGCACCTGGCATGGTTAATTCTCTTTTTTTTTTGAGTTAGAGTCTCACTGTCACCCAGACTGGAGTGCAGTGGCATGCTCCCAGCCACTACAGCCCCAACTTGCTGGGCTCCAGTGATCCTTCCACCTCAGCCTTCCAAGTAGCTGGAACTACAGGCACACACTACCACACCCGGCTAATTTTTTATTTATTGTAGAGACGAGGTGTTGCCAAGTTACCTGGGTGGGTCTCAAACCCGTGGGCTCATGCAATTCAATTGCCTTGGCCTCCCAAAGTGCTGGGATTACAGGCTGAGCTACCGAGCCCGGCCCGTGGTTAATTCTTAATAGTAGTAAATCTTTTTAGCTTTTAGGTAATGTTTTTTATTTTGTTAGTTGTTTGTTTGTTTGTTTATTTATTGAGTTGGAGTCTCACTCTGTCACCCAGACTGGAGTGCAGTGGCCGCTCCTGGCCATTGCAGCCTCGACCTGCTGGGCTCCGGCGATCCTTCCGCCTCGGCCTTCCAAGTAGCTGGAACTACAGGCGCGCGCTACCACGCCCAGCTAATTTTTGATTTTATTGTAGAGATGAGGTCTCACCAAGTTGCTCAGGCGGGTCTTGAACCCGCGGGCTCAGGCAACCACTCACCTCAGCCTCCCAAAGTGCTGGAATTACAGGCGGAGCCACCGAGCCCGGCCTATTTATTTATTTTTATTTTGAGTTGGAGTCTCACTCTGTTGCCCGGGCTAGAGGGCAGTGACACCATCATGGCCACTGCAGCCTCAACATGCTGGGCTCAGGCGATCCTTCCACCTCAGCTTTCCAAGTAGCTGGAACTGCAGGTGTATGCTACCACGCTCAGCTTACTTTTTTATTGATTGTAGAGGTCTCACCAAGTAGCCCAGGCTAATCTGAGCTCAGGCAATTCTCTTACCTCGGCCTCCCAAAGTGCTGGAATTACAGGCTTGAGCCACTACACCCAGCCTGGTAACATTTGTTACAGTAGCCTCTGATTTAGAATCGCAGTGATGATAACCTTGTAAAGCTTAAAATGTGATTTCTCCCCAGATGCCATGAAGTACACTATTGTGGTGTCAGCCACGGCTTCAGATGCGGCCCCACTTCAATACCTGGCTCCTTACTCTGGCTGTTCCATGGGAGAGTATTTTAGAGATAATGGCAAACATGCTTTGATCATCTATGACGACTTATCCAAACAGGTCAGAGGAAATGTTTTTAGAATCTGTTCCACAGTAAAAGTTCATGGTTGCATCTTCTGTATAACGTGAATTTATGCAACCTTGCTGTCCTATAGGCTGTTGCTTACCGCCAGATGTCTCTGCTTCTCCGCCGGCCCCCAGGTCGGGAGGCCTACCCTGGAGATGTGTTCTACCTGCACTCCCGATTGCTGGAGAGAGCAGCTAAAATGAACGATGCCTTTGGGGGCGGCTCCTTGACTGCTTTACCAGTCATTGAGACACAGGCTGGTGATGTCTCTGCCTACATTCCAACAAATGTTATTTCCATCACTGACGGACAGGTATTATTTTAATGGTTGAGATAAGGGGAAAAACAGTTTGGATAATTATAAGGCATAGTTTGAGAAGTATTGGTTGTTGACTGCTTTGTTAAATGCCTTTTACTTTTTGTTATGGAAGAGTCTGAATTATATACATGACTAAGAAGAATAGTGTAGTGAAACCCCATGTCTGTCACTTGGTCTTCCTTCATGGAGTAGTGTTTTTCTTGTTTTAGTTGTACCCACTACTGTTCTCCCTAGATAATTTTGATCTCAGAAATGATCAAAATCACTTCACCTGTGTATATTTCACTGTAAACATGCTACCTGTTTTTTTTCCTCACCTCATGTACATCTCCTAATCTCAGTAATAGGATACACAGGTAATTTGGGTTGTAAAAGATTAAGGGGAACTGACATTGTATCCTTGTCAGTTTTTGTTTTATGGCCTAGTGACTAAATTTGAAGATAATTGATTTCTTACTTGAAGTTTGCTAGCATGTGTATTTTCCTTATGTTGTAGATCTTCTTGGAAACAGAATTGTTCTATAAAGGTATCCGCCCGGCCATCAATGTTGGCTTGTCTGTGTCCCGTGTTGGATCTGCTGCTCAAACCAGGGCTATGAAGCAGGTATTTTTGCGTCACCTTGGCAAGGAAGGGGGAAATGTCATTAGATTAGCCCCTTAAAATGTATCAACGGAATCTGTATTTTGGGTCCTGGAGTTACAGTCCCGGTATATCTGTATTTCAGGTGGCAGGTACCATGAAGTTAGAACTGGCTCAGTATCGTGAGGTTGCTGCTTTTGCCCAGTTTGGTTCTGACCTTGATGCTGCCACTCAGCAACTCCTGAGTCGTGGTGTTCGTCTGACTGAGCTGCTGAAGCAAGGACAGTACTGTGAGTTGCTCTTCACTTAACCAAGTTGCTGTGTCTGTTAGGGCCTTCCCGACCTGCAGAGCCATCCCGCGTCCCAGGCTGTGGTACACTTTGCACGTTCATTAGGTGCTGCCTTCAGAGAATGGTGCATATTTGTTGTACTTAAAGTTTCTGTTTGAAATAGCACAGAGAAATCAAAGGCACAAGTCTGGCTGGGTTGATCAAGAACAAAGAGAGAAAATAACAGTTATTAATATCAGGAGTGAAAGAGGGAACATTACTACAGATTCTAGAGTTGTTAAAAGGGCCATGCATGAAAATGCAGTGAACTTAACTGGGAATGCAAAGTATATTTAACACTTTCCTTTTGGTTATTAAGACCTACTGAGTACCCTGCCACCTTGACTGAATGTAGAATTTGGCGGATTTATTTTTTTTATTTTTATTTATTTTTTTTGAGTTGGAGTCTCACTCTGTCACCCAGTCTGGAGTGCAGTGGCCGCTCCCGGCCACTGCAGCCTCGACCCGCCGGGCTCCGGTGAT